TATTAATGTATTACCTATAAAGAATTGAAAGACATATTATACAATTTAAAAATTATTATTTCTGTACTCATTTGTTCAAATAAAATTATATTCATGTTAGGATAAGAATAGTACGTAAAAAAAGTTTGAGACAGCTGACCCCCAAATATCCTGAGGAAATGCATTAATATACCTATAGAAAGCATAAAAATTGTTTTGATAATATATATTCCATAGCTTTGTCAAATATTTATCATTAGAACYTAGAAATATATCATTCAGATTTCAGATACAGAAGTCCAATAATGAATAGGTACGTCTATGCACGTTATAATATAATTATATATTTTACGTTTATACTTCCAATCTTCAGTTTGTATACACGGCATTTTAATAAAAAAAAATATTTCGAATTTCTTAATTTGACTGCCAATTAACASTACTTATAATTTATAAATTATGTTTCATCCTTGTTTGTTTTTCGTATAATATATGTATTTGGTTACAACTACTATAGCTTGGTGAGTTTTGTTTGATTTTATTTAACTTTGATGTTATACTTAAACTTTTTGTTGAATATATTAATAATTTTTTTTAGATACAGCTAGTGTATCCTCCCCTATAACCGAGTTGCAATTCGCGATTACAGAATGGCACCCGTGTACGCGCGACGTGTATTATTGTTGTTATGCAACAGGTGTACGTGTAAAATAATAATAGTAGTGAGTATTGTGTAAGTTCACTGCGGGCTACGGCGGTAACAATCTCTGCGGGCAGTGATAAAATAAAACATCGTGAAAAAGTGTGAGTAAGAGAGAGGGCGGGTGTGGAGAGTAAAGATAAAGAGTACACCTAGGGTGGGAGTGAGAGGGCGTATTAATGTATTACTAGAGATACATACGAAGGGTAAAKCTGACAGCATTGTCACGGGCAATCGGATAGGTGACTGTGCGGTAGTGACCGGCTGTAGCGTGGCCAGTTGAAAAGTGGCTGGCGCCGCAGCGGGAGGTTGCAGATTGTGGTGATGCTTGACAACATCGACGGGATTTCCCCCGTCCAAGGACCGACTGCGCGGCTTGTTGACGGCCGGCACCGCCGCGGACGGATCCTGTTGCTGGCTGAACATCCATCGGAAGTACCACGACATCTCCCAGGCATATTGCGCCGGTACGCGCACACCACACACGGTGACGGACACACTGTGCAGCAAACACGGATGATAATTGCAGGTAACGAGAGAAATTGGCGCGGAACAGTACCGCGACGACGGAACGACGAACGGACAACTGACGACGTCGATGTGCGGACAATATACAATGTCATACCTGGGCAACGCAGACGGCCGCGGCGAGCACCACCACCGCCAGCCATCGCATGACCGTGGAGGATGGATGGAACTCACCATGGACGCGATACTGATTTTCGAGGAAGGGAACCGGTTTTTGGTGTTAGCGCGAACGAGAGCGCGGCGGGCGTGCTCTCGTATGGAAAATATAGACGCAAAAAAAACAAAATAATATTATTGATATTATAATAATGATAAAAATATGATGAGGATAATAAAAACAGAACGACGKGGAATTTATATCTCTCTAATAGTATACTACATAATGCCAATTGCCAGTACGAAAATATTATGTTTGCAGTGCACTGCAACTTTACTTGTGCGCCGTACTGCCTATAACGACAACAAAATCCTTGGAGGAGGGGACACGATATATAATAATAACCTAACCTCGGCAATTAGTTGTGTTGTTTTCAAGGTTTTTCGTGACACTTTCACTGAACACCGGTCACAACTCAAGACTCCCACCAAAGCACCAACCCAGAACGTCACTTTCATTGTATAGTGTAATGTTGCCCAGTGCCCACCGAGGGTCATTCGGAATGACAGTCGTAAATCCCAGAGTCGTTTTTACGATTACCTACTTCAAATGTTTTCCCAACACCAATCAGTAATCACTATGAACAAGATAATTTGACAAATAATTATTAATATTTTCTATTCGTTTTAATCTTACTGATTCTACGCTTATTCGCTGCAGCTTAATTTGTCATAATCATATGAATATACAATATGTCAATATGGTGAATAAACTTCTATTGTTTCGGTAGACGATTTCATAAATCATAAATTAGGTCAGTGGGTTTATACAAAAAAACTGGTTATTAAACCATCGGTTCAGCTCCCCACCAAACCTCTGCCACATCACTCGTTAATTTTTTCAATGGAGAATAATATTGTAAAAAAAAACGTTCTACTATCTACACCTGCGTGAACTCCGACAAAAACATAACGATCTACATTTTTATGAAAACGAAACGAACAAACACGAACGCGTGTAATCAAATGTTACCAATACGTACCAATAGTCACGTACCTATTTGGTCCTGTAGACTCATTAGTAATAATTATAATATTGTGGTTTTCGACAGTTAGATTACCTACTATTATTTTTTATAACACTAACAAAACAAATTTTTACAAGTACAATAAAAAAACCATTATTAAGTCAATAATTTTTATTTCAAAAATATTCATAGAAGATATCTACAACCTAAAACATGAGTAAAAAATTATTTCACATGTCTGATGCCTATTATAGGTTAGATTAGATATATAAGCAAATAAGTACAAATTTATGAATTTTTGTTGTTCATTACCTATGTATCAAGAATGAAACACCTGAGAATTAAAACGCTGTAAATAAAGTAAGATTTCTAAGTAATATGTAAAGATTTTTATTTTTATTTTAATATTTCATCATTAAATATCTCAATAATGTATTCTATTAAATATAAATAGCTGAATCGG